CTAGACCTGCTCTTTTATGAAAAGCGCTGTGAGATAACTGTTGTTGCGATTTGGCGCTATATAAATAAAACTGAATTGAATTGAATTGAATTCGCAGCCTAAAAAGGGAATGCAGGAAAGCAGAGCGCAGATGGAAAAAATCCAGTCTCCATATCCATTACATCAGTCTGAAGGATTTATTAATTAAATACAATAACTTGGTTAAGGATGCGAGAACACACATTTTTCTGAACTCATTACTACACATAAACACAATCCCAGGTTTCTGTTTAAGACTGTGGATCAGCTGGTAAACCCAACCCCTCCTTGTGCCTCAGCTGGAAGTAATGATGACTGTGAATTGTTTTTATCTTATTTTACCAATAAGGTGGTGTCAATCAGAGCCTCTATTACCCCCGCAGCCTTTTACTCAGAGGTTCCTCACCAGCAACAACAGAGTTTTAACCAGTTTTATCCCATCGACTTGGCTGAGCTTTTAAAAACAGTATCACAAATGAGAGTGTCCTCCAGCCCACTTGATGTAATACCTACAAAATTTTAACTGAAAGTAATGGATTCTGTTGGGCCCCATTTGATCTCTGTTTTCAACAGCTCCCTATCTACTGGTTGTGTCCCTGATTATTTTAAAACGGCTTGCGTGAACCCACTTTTAAAGAAACCTGGTTTAGATCCCTCCCTCCCACAAAATTTTAGACCAATTTCAAAACTGCCTTTTATTGCAAAGATTCTAGAAAGAATTGTGTCCAAACAGCTGCTCACTGTACTGGAAAATAAATATTTTTGAAAAGTTTCAGTCTGGTTTCAGGAAGTACCTCAGCACTGAGACTGCCCTGCTTAAAGTCACCAATGACCTTTTAATGTCTGCTGATGAAGGTATGTGCTCAGTCCTGGTACTCCTGGACCTTAGCGCTGCTTTTGACACCATTGATCACAACATCATGTTAGACAGACTGAGGCACTGGGTGCGGATCTCTGGTACTGCCCTAGAATGGTTTTCATCCTACCTGTCAAATAGGAAGTTTTGCGTGTCTGTAAACAACTATGTCTCCTCGTTCTGTCCAGTTAAATATGGTGTGCCTCAGGGGTCGGTCTTAGGACCCATTTTGTTTTCCTTCCTCCTTGTATCTGCTTCCCCTTGGACATATTATCCATAAACATGGCGTTTCTTTTCATATTTATGCTGATGACACACAAATATACTTGCCCGTCAGATCCACAGACCCTGGAATGCTGAGTTCACTTAACAACTGCCTTTGTGAAGTTAAAAAATGGATGTCAAATAATTTCCTCCAGCTGAACTCCGGCAAAACAGAAATCCTGGTCATTGGGTCCCAGTGGATGGCAAAACAAATGCTGACATCTGCTGGTTCCCTAGTAAATCACATTAAGCCTGTGGCAAAGAACCTTGGTGTTTGGTTTGATAGTAATTTAAATTTCGAGCAGCACACCACAAAGCTTGTTCAATCATGTTTTTATCAACTTAGAAATATAGCAAAAATTCGATCTATGTTAACTTTTAAGGACACCGAGACCATTTTACATGCCTTCATCTCATCACGCCTGGATTATTGCAGCAGCATTTTCACCTGTTTAACCCAAAAATCTATTGATCGACTCCAGACTGTCCAGAACTCAGCTGCCAGGCTTTTAACCAGAACAAAGAAATATGACCACATTACTCCTATTTTAGCTTCATTACACTGGCTCCCAGTATGTTTTAGAATTGACTTTAAAATTCTATTGATCACTTTTAAAGCTCTTCATGGCCTCTCGCCTTGTTATATTTCTGACCTTTTAGTCCCATACGCACCAGCACGTACCTTGAGATCCTCGGGCAGAGGTCTGCTGTCTGTTCCAGAGTCTCGACTGAAAACTAAAGGGGACAGAGCGTTTGCTGTCAGGGCCCCGAGGCTCTGGAACAGCCTGCCCGAGGAAATCAGCTCAGGTGAGTCAGTGAACTCTTTTAAGTCCCTTCTTAAAACGTACTTTTATAGGAGAGCCTTTCCCGATCTTAGTTGACTTTATTTTATCCCTTTTATTTTATTCTATTCTACTAATTTGATCCATCCATCCATCCATCTTCATCCGAACTGCAGCCCCTCCTCGCCACGACTACGCCTCGATATCCTGTCCATGAATATCACAAACTGGATAGGTGACAAAGCGTAGCCCTGGCGAAGGCCAACCCTCACCTGGAAAGAGTCCGACTTACTGCCGAGTACTTGGACACAGCTCTCGCTTTGGATGTACAGGGATTGGATAGCCCTGAGAAGGGCCCCCCTTACCCCATACTCCCGCAGCACCTCCCACAGTATCTCCTGGGGGACCCGCTCATACGCCTTCTCCAGATCTACAAAGCACATGTAGACTGGATAGGCATACCAAGCCCACTCCAGGATCCTTGTGAGAGTAATGAGCTGGTCAGTTGTTCCACGACCGGGACGAAAACCGCATTGTTCCTCTTCAATCTGAGGTTCGACAATCGGCTGCACCCTCCGTTCCAGCACCCTGGAATAGACTTTACCGGGGAGGCTGAGAAGTGTGATACCCCTGTAATTGGCACAGAACCAGGGGTTCCCCTGTTGTTTTCATGCTTTTATCTTGTATTGTTTTTGTATTATTTTCTCTTGGGTATTATTGTCTTTACACTTGTTAAAGCACTTTGTAACTTGTTTTTTAAAAGTGCTCTAAAAATAAAGATTATTATTATTATTATTATTATTATTAGTCGAGGTGGGAAGTTATGAAGGCATTTATCACCCTCTCCAAATCTTTAGAAGGGAGCTAGGCCTTTACCTTGGCTATAGTTCTCAACTGGAAAAAGCAGGATCTAACAGTGGTGGATATCTGTTTATCAACTCTAAACGCACTGTCCAATACAACACCAAGACTCCTCACAGTTGAGCGGTTATTTGAACTGGACAGAGAAGCTCCTATCCGTTAGATAGAATTGAAACCACCTAAGAACAGTACCTTTGATTCCCACACAATCCCAAAGAGGATTACTCAATCCTCTTGTCAACAATGTCAAAGGCAGCAGTGAGGTCTAAAAGCGCTAGGACGGCAGAGGCTCCTGAGTCAACAGTAACTCTTAAAAGTGATATGACTTATTTAGTTACTTACTGTAGTCAAGGGCTCACCTTGCATAAAATGCCCTAGTAGTTCATTAGAAGCCTATTATTATTTTTTAATTGTTCTAATTCTAAAACTGATTCATTTTGATTGACAATAATCATAGTGATAATGATAATAATGATTCATTATTCTAAAAATGATTCTGTGCTCAGGATGTGCTTGACCTAAGGTTTCTAATCTGATCCTGTAAATGCCATTTCTACCTGAGGTGAGGTCTGCTTATTCTTAGGCCCAAAGATGGAGCCGGCTGTTTTAAAGGAGGGAGGATTGTAGTGAGTTTCGCTCAGTTCCTGGACCTATGGGATCTCCAGCTGAGACATCCTGCTAATGGGCAGAGTCAACAGAGCAGACACATACAGGCAGAGAGAAACTGAAAGGCAGGCGGACGAACGTCAGCTACTGGAGGGAAACAACTTCTATGTTTCACAGAGCACCAGCTGATCCGGTGTTGTGCAGAGATGTCTAACTAACTCCCACTCCCTCATACTGGTAACTGGAAGTTTAACATGGCACCTCATGGCAAAGAACTCTCTGAGGACCTGAAATAAAGAACGGTTGCTCTACATAAAGATGGCAGAGGCTGTAAGAAGACTGCCAAGACCCTGAAACTGAGCTGCAGCACAGCGGCCAAGACCACATAGGTGCTGGTCATATAATTAGAATATCATCAAAAAGTTGATTTATTTCAGTAATTCCTTTCAAAAAGTGAAACTTTTATAATGTATAATTCATTCCACACAGACTGATATATTTCAAGTGTTCGTTCCTTTTAATTTTGATGATTATAACTGACAACAAATGAAAACCCCAAAATCAGTATCTCAGAAAATTAGAATATTGTGAAAAGGTTGAATATTGAAGACACCTGGTGCCACACTCTAATCAGCTAATTAACTCAAAACACCTGCCAAGTCAGCATCAGCCCAGTCTGCCCAGAACTTTAGCCTCCCTTTCCCACTTTAATTTTAGTTTTATTTAACCTTTATTTAACCAGGTAGGCCCATTGAGAACAGTTTCTCATTTGCAACGGCGACCTGGCCAAGAAAGTGTAGACATGCGGAACAACTTATAGTTACACATGGAATACACGTAGCATAAATGAGCAAAATAACGTACAACAGTAATGAGTCTGTAAGGAGAGTATTTGAAAGTGCAGCAGCGTCTATGTACAGTGAAGAAGGGGAGCAGCATGGTGTTAATGACAGGCCAGTTAGCATCATTCCAGGGAGGCTGTGGGGATTTCTCTGGCTCTTTTTACCAGAACAACAAAGAAAATGAAATATTTCTTAATTTTCTCACATAATGATCATTATGTAATAAAAACAACCTCCTGTCTGTGCTGGATGCTGGACAGCTGGAAACAGTCTGCATGGAAGTTACAGACAACATTAAAATGATCCAGTTTGAGATGTTCATTTAGACTGAATTATGGCCGTTAAATGGCGTCTGTAGATAGGTGTTAATGTTAAGAGAATTTTATCTCTTGATTTTACAATAAAAATACATTGAGACTGTTAAAGATTGCCTTTTTTATGGTGGCTTTTAATCTAGCATCAAATAGTAAACTGCTTGCTGTGCGCAGGCCTGCATGTACAAATCCCCAGCAGTAGATATTGTGCTAGTATTGAACTACAAGAAGCAAGACAGTTGCAAGCCTTTAATTAGAGTTATGTAAAGCTTTTGATGGGACAGTGAGCTGCTAGAGATGTGGTGACAACAGCTGCGCAGAGGCGGCCCAATTCACGTTTTTTGTCATGGGGACCAAAATTCCAGATTTCAGACTTCCTGCAGTTCCCCAACTTTACCAGAGTCCAGGAAATGTGCCTGTGTCTGTGGTAAAATTTGAACAAATAAATGACTCACTGTTGTCTTTTGGTTGATTTATTAAAGGAGAAAAAACAGAGAAGTACATAAACAAAACCCACCAGAGGTCCACCAGCCTGACCAGAGTTTTTAACATCTTGTTGTCCCACAGCTTCCAGTTGTGCTGCGAAAGGTTTCCTGACATGTTTTTGTTGTGAGCACTCCTGGACCAGTCAAAGACAGGTGTGATCATCTGCTTATCCCACAACCAAACACCATCAAGTTGATCATTTATATTTTCATATACTGATTTAGCTGAACTTGATTATACCAACATACCACAGAAGGAATACATTGCTGCGTGTGTTGCTTTAATATAAAGAGATGCATCAGACTCACAGTGACACACAAAATGAGTGTGTGTGTGTGCGGGGGTGGGGGTGGGGGGGGTTGACTTCTACAGTCTCTTGTGAACACTGAGGTTAGTGTTGCATTTGCTGCAGTAGTGATGAGCGTCTTTGCATCTGTCCATGAAGAAGGGGATGACACAGCAGCCGCACCACAGCCTGTGAGAGAAGAGGAGGGAGGACGAGAAGGACATACATGTCGCATATATGTGATGTATGATATGTAATGTTAGCCCACGTCCTACCCCTAACCCTGAAGACAAATGTCACTGTACAGGGGTTGCTCTACGATAAATAGGATGGCATTACAAGTAATTCATTCAATGTCACTGTACAGCAGATATTGTAGTTTTGTCCTGTTAAAAATAGGAACCTCAATAATAACAACAACAGATTAAATATAGCATCTTTCAGCACCGCAAAGGTGATGTGTGTAATGTGAGTGGTACGCGGTAGTGGTATTTATTACCTTTCTTACGTCATGTTTGTCAGAGAGCCATTGCGTAAAGTGTCTGAAAGTGCTCCTGATGAATATCATTGTTAGTGTTTGTTTGATTAAAGTGTGTATGTGTGTGTTACCCAATCAGAAGGCAGAGTCCACAGATCAGCCAGGCCAGCACGCCACTTTGATACACCACCCTGGTTTCGACCCGCTGTCCACAGTTCCTGCAGGTGGTTAAGGTGGGGACATCACCCAGGTCCCCAGAACAAATCATAACCTGGACTGAGGCACACAACGGTACACTGGTTACATACATACAGACTCTTTATACTTTATTGATCCCTGAGGGGGAAATTTATTATCATCCTACTCAGGAGCAGAGGGCAGCCACTGTCCTCGGTGCCCGGGGAGCAGTTAGGGGTCCTTGCTGGACTTGAGCAAGCCCCTGAACCCACAACTGCTCTGGCTGCTGCACTACCCCTGGCTCTAACATCTCTCCATGTGTTGCTGCATGTGTGTGGAAATGGTCTGTGTACACATATTCACATTCATGAATACATTCATCGTATTCATTTTTGAGTGTTTCTGCAACTATGGGAAAAATCTACTTCAATAACTTCACATTTACCCATCAGTGTGTAATCCATATGAACAGCTACACAGAGATTTGAATCTGTGACATGTTTAGTTTTGAGGGTTTTTATCATTTGTAGTCCACAATATGTCTTCACTTCAAAACTTCACTGCACTGCACTTAATATCTCCATCCATCCATCCATCCATCTTCATACGCTTAACTGGGATCGGGTCGCGGGGGGAGCAGCTCCAGCAGGGAACCCCAAACTTCTCTTTCTAGCCACATTAACCAGCTCTGACTGGGGGATCCCGAGGCGTTCCCAGGCCAGTGTGGAGATATAATCTATCCACCTAGTCCTGGGTCTTCCCAGAGGCCCCCTCCCAGCTGGACGTGCCTGGAACACCTCCCTAGGGAGGCGTCCAGGAGGCATCCTTACCAGATCCCCAAACTACCTCAACTGGCTCCTTTCAACACAAAGGAGCAGCGGCTCTACTCTGAGCTACTTGCAGATGTCCGAGCTTCTCACCTTATCTCTAAGGGAGACACCAGCCACCCGCCTGAGGAAACCCATTTCGGCCCCTTATACCCGTGATCTCGTTCTTTCGGTCATGACCCAGCCTTCATGACCATAGGTGAGGGTAGGAGCGAAAATCGACCGGTACCATGTACGTTTCACCACAACGGTGCGGTAAAGTGAGTGCAATACCGCCCCCGCTGCTCCAATTCTCCGGCCAATCTCCTGCTTCAGTCTCCCCTCACTCGTGAAAAAGACCCTGAAGTACTTGAACTCCTTCACTTGGGGTAAGGACACATTCCCTACCTGGAGTTGGCACTCCACCGGTTTCCTGCTGAGAACCATGGCCACAGATTTAGAGGTGCTAATCCTCATCCCAACCGCTTCGCACTCGGCTGCGAACTGATCCAGTGAGAGCTGAAGGTCACGGACCGATGATGCTATCAGGACCACATCATCCGCAAAAAGCAGTGATGAGATCCCAAGCCCACCGAACCGCAGCCCCTCCTCGCCACGACTATGCCTCAATATCCTGTCCATGAATATCACAAACCGGATAGGTGACAAAGCGCAGCCCTGACGAAAGGCCAACCCTCACCTAGAAAGAGTCCAACTTACTGCCGAGTACTTGGACACAGCTCTCGCTTTGGATGTATAGGAATTGGATAGCCCTGAGAAGGGCCCCCTTCACCCCATACTCCCGCAGCACCTCCCACAATATCTCCCGGGGGGACCTGGTCATACGCCTTCTCCAGATCTACAAAGCACATGTAGACTGGATAGGCATACTCCCAAGCCCACTCCAGGATCCTTGTGAGAGTAAAGAGCTGGTCAGTTTTTGAACAGGGGAACCACCACCCCAGTCTGCCACTCCTTGGGCACTGTACCCGACTTCCACGCAATGTTAAAGAGACGTGTCACTTAATATCTTTTACATCTAAACTGTTGCAGAAATGGCAGCTAAGAAGCGCCACTATGTTAACTAAGAAGCTCCACTATGTGGAACAAACTCCCAGATAACTGCAGGTCTGCGCAGTTTTTTTTAAATTAAGACTGAAGACTCTTCTTTTTACCATTGCTTTTAATTAAATATTTAAGATTGTTCTTTTTACCGCTGCCTTTAACTAGTCGATTGAACTTGTACTGCACTGTAACTTTTACTGTCTTGTTTAATTTTTCTTTGTTTTTAGCGTTTTACCATTGCTTTTAATTAAATATTTACACAGTAAGAAATGAGTAGGTAATTGAGTGAAAAGATAATGAGAGTGAGATTGAACAGAGTGAAGGAAGTGGTCTTAAATCTCACGCTGAGTGATTTGCAGGAACCTCTGTCCACCTGTAAATGCGCAGGTGGGTCCAGAGTATTACTGGATCAAAGCGGCCTGCGGAAAGACATGTCCTGGCTTCTCTGTAGTGTCCGAGGGTTTTGGGAGTTTCAGTGGACCCAAAGATTGTTATGGACCCGAGTACAGACTAGCTAGAGAGAGTAGATTAAGTGTACTTCTTTGTTTATTCTCTTTTCAGAATAATTGTTAACTTTATTGATTGACAACCTGCTTTGTTAGCTAACAAGCTGCTTTATTAGTTGACAAGCTGCTTTGTTAGCTAACAAGCTCTACTATGTTAGCAAACAAGCCCTGCTATGTTAACTTTGACTCTTAGCATCTAATAAAAATCACTTCAACAGTAATTGTACTTTTTTATAATGTAGTTAAAACAACTTAATTTTTTAGTGATGATAAAGACATTAAATACTGATGACCTTTCAATCTTGAGTCACCCAGTGTGGGTGGAGAGCTCATATGCTTCCTTCAGAAATTACATTTATTTGGCTTTGAAAAAACTATTTCATTGGTTCAGAAGTGTTTATAATTTTAATATGATGTGCAGTAATATTAATATGAACTATTTGCAGTAATGTAATGTTTTAATTGAAGCAGCTTGGTTCTTGTATCTCAACACTGAGACCACATTTGGGGGACAAAGAGTAACACATTTGATTAAATGATGTAAATTATATTTTATGTCAAGATGTGAAATAACACCATGTATATTTATCAAGCATCGTATGAAACACAAATCTATAAATACTGTATATAGGATGTACACACTGTCTATGAAGATTCTCAGTCATCCAGGTCATAGTTATCCAACGAAGGTTAAAATCAAGGGCAACTGGTCTTGGTTGAAGATACTGGAAGACGTTCCGTCCCTCATCCAAAGGACTTCTTCAGTTCTGACTGACTGACAGGGAAACTCAGCTATTTAACCTCAGTGGGGTCGTTGGCCCGGGTCATCGATACCGCTGGTTCGTTAGTGTTCCTTGTTGCTGTGACGACAGTCGTTGCAGTCGTTAAGACTACCTTTGGCCAAGAATGAACGACCATCGTTGATATCTTCACCTGAGGCCAATAGGTTCCAGTATCTTCAACCAAGTCCAGTTGCCCTTGATTTTAACCTTCGTTGGATTTACATACTGTATTTATGTAAGCATGTAAATGACAGATTTCTTCATCATTGTAAAATAACACTGAGACTCTTACTGGGCTGCTGTTGGACCATTTGCACTGGCTGAGGAGTCATTTGGACCACGTGACCTTGTTGAGTCATCTGACCTCCCGGGTTCATGACGTCCTGCTGGACCACCTGATACTGAACCTGTTGAGGAGGAGCCTGGATGTCTGTGGATGAAGCCTGGGGGGGACCACCTGGGTCTGGGGAGAAGGGGGAGACATTAGAAAGGAGGGAGAGAGAGGGCAAAGGAGGAGACTGGGTGGTGGTCTGGAGGAGAGACCACCTGGGTCGGGGAGAAGGGGGAGACACCTTACCGTCGTGCATGCTACTGACAGCAATCTGTTTGGATCTTATTTGGATTGTGGATTCAGAGTTTTGTTGTCTCGTCTCATGTCGTGTCACCTTGTGAAATGTCATCTCGTTTTGTGTTTTGTCGTTTCGTGTCGTGTCATCTCATTTTGTGTCGTATCGTCTCGTGTCGTCTCATGTCCTGTCATCTCGTTTTGTATTGTGTCGTCATGTGGTGTGTCGTCTCATGTCGTGTCGTCTTGTGTCATCTAGTTTTGTGTTTTGCCGTCTCGTCTCATGTCCTGTCACCTCGTGTCGTGTCACCTCGTGTCGTGTCACCTCATCTCGTGTCGTCTCATGTCCTGTCATCCCGCGTCGTGTCGTCTCATGTCATGTCATCCCATGTCGTGTCATCTTGTTTCGTGTTGTCTCGTCTCTTCATGTCGTGATGTGTCATCTCATGTTGTCTCGTGTGGTCTCATATCATGTCATCTCGTTTTGTGTCATGTTGTCTCGTCTCATGTCGTGTCATCTCGTTTTGTGTTGTCTTGTCTCCTCGTGTCGTATGATCTCGTTTTGTGTCCTGTCATTTTGTGTCGTCTCGTCTCATGTTGTCTCATTCATGTCATGTCGTGTCGTCTCGTGTCATCTAGTTTTGTGTTTTGTCGGCTCGTCTCATGTCCTGTCATCATGTGTCATGTCATCTCATTTTGTGTCCTGCCGTCTCGTGTTGTGTCATCTCATGTCGTGTCATCTCGTTTTGAGTTTTGTTGTCTCGTCTCATGTCGTGTCACCTCGTGACATGTCATCTCGTGACATGTCATCTCGTTTTGTGTTGTGTCATCATGTGTCATGTCGTCTCAAGTTTTGTTGTCTCGTCTCGAGTGTTGTTATCTCATTTTGTGTTGTATCGCCTCATGTTGTGTCATCTCGTTTTGTGTCGTGTCGCCTTGTATCATTTAATTTATAGGTTTTCCCTTCTCGTGTCGTGATGTGTCATGTCACATTGTGTTGTGTTGGACATTGCTAGGTGCCTTTCTATTTTTTAGCGACTGCTGTTTATTCTCATAGTTGTTCAAAAGTTTTGGTAGCCAACCCTACAGTACTTTAGCTTACTTTAGCTTGGCAGCTAGCGATGGCTTCTCCTCCTCCCTCTCCTACTTTCTCCTGCTCGGTGTGTCAGATGTTCAGTTACTCCTCTGCCTCCTTTAGCGGTAATGGTACATGTAACAAGTGTAGTTTATTTAGAAGTCCGGCTCCACACCTTGGTAGATCAGTCTTTAGCTACTGTAGCAAGCCAGTCCCCGGTAGTCGGTGCGGAATGGCCTGAGTTAGCCTCTGGTAGCCCTCCCCCAGGATTTCCTGAGCAGCCAGGAAGGGGTGGCAGGGTGACTGCCTGAAGGAGGAATAGTTGTAAGCATTCAAAGCCCACGGGGCACCATCAACCTGTTCACGTTTCTAACAGATTTTCCCCACTGAGCGACACACCCACTGAGAAAGCAACTCTGATCATTGGCAGCTCCATTTTGAGAAACGTGAAGTTAGCAAAGCCAGCGGCCATAGTTAAGTGCATCCCTGGGGCCAGAGTGGGCGACACGTCGGCGGTAATGACTCCCAGTTTCGCCAATCGGAGGTCACTAAGTTTAATGTTGAGTCGGTGTGTACATAACAATGTCGGACACCGTAGTTTTCTCTGGACCCCCGCCAAATCTGACCAGTGATGACATGTATAGCAGCATGTCGTCATTCCGCTGCTGGTTGTCGAGGTGGTGTCCAGCAAACAATGTGGGCTTTGTAGATCATTGGCAGACTTTCTGGGGAAGACCTGGTCTGATCCGGAGAGACGGCATCCATCCCACTTGGGAAGGAGCAGCTCAATTCTGTCACTAAGCCTGATTGTTACCCTCTTCCACGATTAGATGACTGTATTGACAGAGTAGGATCCGCAGCATTTGTTACAAAGTTGGACCGCTTAAAGGGCTACTGGCAAGTCCCTCTCACTCAGAGGGCCTGTGAAATATCTTCTTTTGTAACACCAGATGATTTTTGCCAGTACCGTGTTATGGCTTTTGGGATACGGAATGCACCAACCACATTTCAGCGTCTGGTAAATACGGTGTTGAAAGGAGTTGCAGACTGTCAGGCTTATCTTGATGATGTGGTTATTTACAGCTCTACCTGGTCTCAGCATGTAGTCCAGCTGAAAGAGGTGTTCCATAGGCTTGATGCTACAAATTTGACTTTGAACCTTGCCAAATGTGAATTTGGACAGGCCACAGTAACATACTTGGGCAAGGTTGTTGGGCATGGAAAGGTCTGTCCCATCGGCACTACAGAGCAATAGTTTATTTGAGGATTTTCAGTCAGGATTTAGAGCTCATATTAGCACAGAGACAGCACTGGTGAAAATTACTAACGACCTCCTTATTGCATCAGACAAAGGACTTGTCTCTGTACTGGTTTTATTAGATCTTAGTGCTGCATTTTATACCATTACCATATACCAGATCCTATTGCAGAGACTGGAACATTTCATTGGCATTAAAGGAACTGCTCTAAGCTGGTTTAAGTCCTATTTATCAGATGGATCAGAAGGATCTGTCCTCGGACCAATCCTCTTCACTTTATAGATGATTCCTTTAGGCAATATTATCAGGAAATATTCCATAAACTTTCATTGTTATGCAGATGATACTCAGTTATATCTATCGATCAAACCAGATGAAACTCATCAGTTAGCTAAACTTCTAATGTGCCTGGATGATCTTTAATTTTCTAATGTTAAACTCAGGTAAAACTGAAGTTATTGCTCTGGGGCCCAAGCACCTCCATGACACATTATCTAAAGATATAGTTTCCCTTGATGGCATCGCCCTGGCCTCCAGCACCACTGTGAGGAATCTTGGAGTTATCTTTGATCAGGACATGTCGTTTAAGTCTCACATTAAGCAAATTTCAAGGACCGCCTTTTTTCACCTTCGTAATATTGTGAAAATCAGGAACATCCTGTCTAAAAATGATGCAGAAAAACTAGTCTAGGCATTTATTACTTCTAGGCTGGATTACTGCAATTCCTTATTATCAGGCTGCTCGAAAAAGTCCATTAAGACTCTTCAGCTGAATCAGAATGCTGCAGCAGGTATTCTGACAGGAACCAGGAAAAGATATCATATTTCTCGTGTCTTAGCTTCTTTGCATTGGCTTCCAGTAAAATCCAGAATAGAATTTAAAATCATTCTTCTTACCTACAAAGCTCTTAATGGTCAGGCACCATCTTATCTTAAAGAGCTCATAGTACCTTACTACCCCACCAGAGCGCTGCGCTCCCAGAATGCAAGGTTACTTTGGTTCCTAGAGTCTCCAAAAGTAGACTAGGAGCCAGAGCGTTCAGCTATCAAGCTCCTCTCCTGTGGAACCAGGTTCCAGTTTGGGTTCAGGAGGCAGACACCATCTCCACATTTAAGAGTAGGCTTAAGACTTTCCTCTTTGATAAAGCTTATAGTTAGGGCTGGCTCAGGTGAGTCCCTTAGTTATGCTGCTATAGGCCTAGACTGCTGAGCTCCTCTCTCCTCTACTTTCTCTCCCTCTGTATGCAACCTCATCCCATTATTGCATGTTACTAATACAACTTCTCCCCTTTCCGGTAGTCTTGTGCTTACTCGTCCGTCTCCTCTGTCCTCTTATCACTTCCTGCAGGTTTTCCGGCTCTGGAGCTGTGGAGTCTGGATCTGTTTGCCAGGTTCTGCTTGAGGTTCCTGCCTCTTAAAGGAAGTTTTTCCTTGCCTCTCTCGCCTAGTGCTGTTCTTGGTGGGAACTGTTGGGTTTCTCTAAATAACATCACAGAGTCACGGTCTAGACCTGCTCTTTTATGAAAAGCACTGTGACATAACTGTTGTTGTGATTTGGCGCTATTTAAATAAAATTGAAATGAATTGAATTAAAGTAGAGGCTATTGTGAGTTGCGACGACTCGGTGTGAGTTGAAACGTTTTCTTGGGATGGAAGGCTATTGTTGTTGGAGCAGCTTTTGTAAGAACTTTGCTTCCGTTGCTGCTCCCTTGACTAACCTTCTCAATCCAAACGTCACATTTATTTGGTCCAGTTTGTGTCACTCTGCATTTGACAACTTGAAAGCACTGTTAGTAAGTGCTCCTGTCCTTGCCGCCCCTGATTTTGATAGGCCTTTTAAACTAGCTGTTGATGCTAGTGATGCTGGTGTTGGGGGTGTCTTACTCCAAGAGGATTCAGAGGGAGTTGAGCATCTTGTATGATACTTTTCTAAGAAGTTTGACGTACATCAGAAGTATTATTCTACTATAGAGAAAGTTTATTATTCTACTATAGAGAGAGTTTAACATTAGAAAATTACAGGTCATCCAGGTTTTAACATCCTGAAGGCACATTAGAAGTTTAGCTAACTGGTGAGTTTCATCTGGCTTGATCGATATATATAACTGAGTATCATCTGCATAACAATGAAAGTTTATAGAATATTTCCTGATAATGTTGCCTAAAGGAAGCAAATATAAAGTGAACAGGATTGGTCCGAGGACAGATCCTTGAGGAACTCCATGACTAACTTTGGCGTGCATTTTAACTTTAACATGAACTCCACACTGCCAAGCAGTTTGTAGAATTATTGAAATATGCCCGGATGCGAGTGAACGCTGGCGCAACTTGCTGCCACTGCTCACTGGTAAACCTCGTATCTTTTAACTTTCAGACATGCATTATGGTTCTATAACTCAATCGGACAGTGTAATTCCCTTCATACAGAATACTCGTACGATCTGCCGGCACTACTGTTTGTCTGAGCCTTTATAGTTATCTCACCTGTTCCATTCTGGTCTGAGCCTCATCTTGCGTTTTCATGCCGCTTAAATCCCCATCTATAATGTGGGCCGTTAGGACAT